AGCGAGCCTGGTCCGGTGCGTCCAAAGCGGAAGGAAGGAAGGAGAAATAGGAACAGATCCAGGTACACGTTTGACATAGTTGAACCCTTAGTACATGTAAAACCTACAATCAGTACCATTGACTGTAGTTCCAGACTGAGAGGCCCCTGACAGATGCAATGTCAAGCACATGGTGCTGAGTGCCTAAATTAGTTACGAAGGTCCCTGTTGAATTTCTGCCTGACCTGAAAGCTTGAGAGCCACCATATGGCTGCCCTCCACAACTGAGGTTACAGCCTTCGGATTCAGTTGACTATTCAGATTTGACTAGCCTAATTAAATCTGCCCACTTCTCCACACAGATAATTATCAGTCTTTCTATTACTCATGTTACTGCACAACATCCCCTCTCGATGACTTTATTCATTTCAGACAGGGACAGCAGGTGCCAGATGGCAAACCGATGCTGTGTGATGCACAGTATTTCTGTTACTTTGTGCTTAGAGTTTCACCTTGCTCCTGTGCGTTAGACTGATGGGGATGATTGCCTCAGTCACTCTAATAAGCTCTGGTGCAGGGGAAGCTATAGTGTGTCATTGCTTTGGAGGAGCAGTTTAAAGGCTATGAACATTGTTACTATATATATATAAAACGGGCTGTAGCCTTTTAGACTTGTAGGGGAGAGAAGAGAATTTATGTCTGTTTTATATCAGCTCTAAATGTAAGCAAGTATATTAAGTGCTTTTCGGGTTAGACTGCAATTTACTTAAAGAACCCTGGCTCAAGGTTTAATTATATATGCCACATTCTTATTTTCTTAACTAGCTCAACACAAATAAGCAACATTCAGTGGGGTCTGATGTTGCTTTTAGCAGCATCAGTTTAGAAATCTGCAATGGCCACTAGAAGGAGCATTTTGCATTTGTCATCAATATACTTTGCAGCTAAAAAAATGGGGGGGGGAATCTGTTTTCTTTCTGAAATTGTAAATTACATGAAAAAAAAAAAGAAATTGAAACACAAATAGACAAAGACTTTGTTTATTTATTGCCAGGAGAGACCCATTAGGATGCAGCACTGTGTTTCCATGGCATCCCAGAGACATAAACAGAAAACACGGGCTAATGCATTCAGTTAGACAGATTTTAAAGTCTAATGCACAATCTAAATATATATCACATATACTCAACAATTTATTTTTTCTATTCTATATATTGTAGTGGGGAGGGGAGCTAGTCAGCTACTCCACTGCTCTCATGCATTTATAAACCCAGACGTTCAGGTCTTGTGTTGAAAGTACCCATATGATATTACTGGGTCTTTTCTAGGGCTGTGTGAAACAGCACCATTTTATTTCAACTTCTGTTTCACCATTTCAAAGGGACAGTGTTTTGTTTTGCTATTTCGAAAGCACTGTACCATTTTGTTTCATCAAAACTGTTTCATTGTTTCGATGCTATTTCAACGTGTTTCAACGTTTTGCCCATAGGCTGTAATGGGGAATCATGAAAATGCCTATAGTGGTTGTTATTTCTTTCCTGATTCAAATAAAAACACCAGGGATGGTAGTGCCTGCTGAGACCGGAAAGTCTGCCAAGATTCAAGGAGATAGGTGCAGGGGTTTCTGGGAAACTGTACTTCAAACTGTTCAGAGCAAAACTCGTGTCACTTGTAAGTGTGAAGGCACGGGGGGGTGAAAACAACAGGCATGGTAGCTCCTGCTGAGGCCATGAAGCCTGCCAAGCTTCAAGGACATAGGTGCAGGGGTTTCTGGGAAACTAGACCTCAAGCTGTTCAGAGTAAAACTTGTGTCACTTGTAAGTGTGAAGGCACAGCAAAATCTCAGTTTAAACAATGCTTTTTATGCTGTTTTTCCATCCCTCCCCCAGAGCACTGGGATTGGAAGGGACCTCAGGGAAGGATCACAGTCACTGGCCAGCTACACAGTAAATATCAGAGTAATCCTTTCCTCCTCTTCCTCCTCCCTCTCCTTAGTTTCTGTTTAGCTGCAAGCAAGCCCAGCTTCAAAATTCGAAACGTTTTGAAACTTTTGAAATGTTTCAAGTGCCCTCATTTAATTTTGAAGCTGTTTCTAAGCCTTCTATTTTATTTCAATTTCACTGTTTCAAGCTCGAAACATGTTGAAACAGCTTCAAAATGAAACACCCATTGAAATTTCACACAGGTCTAGTCTTTTCAGATTCTTGTAATTTCTTTCCTTCTCATTGCATGTTAGAATACAGTTATTGACATGTATAAATATATCTGTAGTCTTTCTAGTACAGAGGCAAAAGAAAATTAGCAATCCCAACTTCTGGATTTAGATTCTCTTCTGTCTCATTGGCTTAAAGGCCCCAAAAATTTAGGAGTTGAACCTTGAATACTGAGGTGTTCAGTTTATATGTATAACTAATAAGGCTCAGGCCATTTTTGTCCGCTACTTTACAAAAATACTTTATAGTAATTGAATAACAATTACATCCCTTCATCTTATCATGGAAACTTTCTGAATGCTGTTGAACTGACATCATAATTCCACCATCAGATTTTTTACCATCTCATATAAGGTGTGAGTGTGTTTTTTTGGCAATTCTGCAGAATGCAGCAAGAGTATGCCAGAGTGAAAGATTGCCTTGGAAGGAACATTTTAGGCTGTATTTCAAGAAACAATTTCCAACAGTGAGGTCTTTTAGATTGTGAAATAGCCTCCCAAGGGAAGTGGTGTAGCCCCATTGTTTGAGTCATTTAAAACTAAACTAGCCAGAGCATTGGTGAATATCTTATGAAGGACAATATGGAGCATGTCAAATAGTAAAAAATTGATCCACAAAAGTGTGTGAGAGTAGAACTTCTTGTTTCAATTTGTTGTAATAGAGTGATTCATATAGTTAATTATTTGTGAATATTCAGCAATCATGGAGAATGGAAAAAATGTATATGAATTGCATAAGTTCTTTCTCTCTCTCTCTCTTTGCCTGCCTGCCTCTTTTTGTAGTGGCTATTATTACAGTTATTTGTAAATTAAGAAGTATTAATTCATTGTTTTTGCATTTATAAACTCTAATTCATTGAAGAAGTAGCAGTGGTGCCAAATGCAACAAATACAATGCAAACACTTGAAAAAAATGTTTATGAACAACCAATAGTCAAACAATCCAGTCTGAAAATTATTTATCTGAACTATCTGTTTGAATGCTCTCAAAGATTAATTAAAGGAAGGGGACAAACAGACTCTTCAAACTCCACACAGGATGGGTTTGCACATGATTGCTTAATCAAAGCAGAAGTTGAGTTTATAAAGAATGTGTATTCCAATAAGCTCAGCGAGGGCACTTAAAAAGTTCTTTCTGGTTCTAGAGCTACTGACAAATATTTGCAATTTTCATTTTGTGGAGAATTCTGATCTTTTGTAAAAGTTTCTCTCCAAAATTTAAAATACCTAAATATTTAGAAGCTTTCTCCAGAAAAGAAATGCCTAATTTTGTTTAATTGAAATAGAAACATTTTCTTTCAGTATTTTCCAATTGAGAGCTGCCCAGGATGCATAACTCCAGTGACCTACCTGGGTTGTCTCCAATCTGCACAGAGTGGGGAGTCCGGAAGACCTGTGAGGCTTTCAGGGTTCCCATGGATAGGGAAAAAACATAGAAACTCTGAGAGCCTCAGCTCTAGCCATGGTTCCTAGGACCTTCAAGTAGGAGTCCTGATGTTCCTAACTCTGAGGCAGGGCTTCCCTGGAGCTGCAGATCCTGGAGACCTAGGATTGGGGAGCAAACTTCAGGGCTAGAGACAGACATTCAAAAAGCCTGAGCCTGAATTGATTCAATCTCTGAAGATTAGTCTAACTTGCAAAGCTTGAACCTATTTGGAAGTGGGTAGACATTTCCTTTTCATTCCAGAAATGCAGGCACATTTCATTCCTTTTCATTCCAGAAATGCAGCCCTCCCTTCCCTTCAACAGTACTGAGCTGAGGAGTGGCATGGCCAGGTATGGCTAGATGCTCTGATTAGCCCAGCAGGGAATTGATAATAGTGTTTATCACCCCCTTAAGAAAACAACAGAGGGATATTACCAGCTACCTGTTGATTCTGCCTTTGTCACAGCACAGACCTTGGCCAGCATATGGTCTGCTATCTAATACACAGGTACCTCTCATCAAAGTAGAGGAGAGGGGAAATTCCTGCTTAGCAGGTAGTGGTGAGTGGGAGGGGGGAAGCAGCTCACAGCATCTGCTGGAGTTGCAGCCAGGGATCGGGGGGCAGGACCAGCCCTACTATGGAGCAGAGAGCTTGCCGGGATGCTGGGGGAGTTTGGTTTAACTTAAACCAGCAATGAGTCTGGGACAGACATTACATAAATTGTTTTGAGGCAAATCATTTAAGTTTGATACTACAGTAAACCAGGTTTATCTCAAACCAGTTTCAGCCATTTTCAAACCGGTTTATGTGCACTGAACATCTGTTTTGTTACAGGTTTAAACCAGTTTCTGATCACTTAAATTGGTTTATGTGTAATGTCTGTCCCTAGCCCAGATGATTGGCTGAATAGTTTCTGCTAGGAAGCTGCCTGTGTTTTGACAGAAGTTAATTCAAACTCATATGCATAAGTAAAACTCTTTGGTGTCTCAGAGAACAGAGTTTTCCAATGAAGAATCATTTTGCTGGAAGAATCCTGACTGGCTGTAATTGTTAGTTCTAGTGGCACTTCTCATTTCAACCACAACTTTTTCTATTGTGGAAAAGCTAAAAGAAAAAAAAACCATGTTGCTATTTTAGGTATATTTACTGTGCTCTTATTAGAAAGAAAATGTCTTGACTCTCTGAGAAATAAATTGCAGGGCATGAGGGGAAACACTTTTAGGTGTATTTTTTCAGGTTGACTCTTCCTCAGGAGTTGAATACATCTGAGACATGGAACAGAGATTAAAAAAGTGACTAAAGCCTATACAAAGACTCCTCTGGAGTAAGTAGGGCAAAAATAGATTGGAACTAACTATTCACAGTGAAATATCAGAATAATCCAGAGTGTTTCTGTTGAACTTGTTGGGAGAGGAAGGTGTAGGGTGAACTGAAATTGGAAAGAATTGCAAGTGAGAGCAATAGAAAGGGTAAATTAGAAATATAGTAAATGTATATGGGAGGTAGGAGGAAGCTGGAAGGAGCATCATGATTAAAATCAGTAGGATTTCAGGAAAGAAGTGAAAAAGCATCCAACTCCTTGAATGTATATTTTCCATCTGTTCATTATCATCATTATCATATTTTAATGATTCATAGATTCATAGATTCATAGATTAAGGGTCGGAAGGGACCTAGTAGAACTTCTAGCCCGACCCCCCGCCAGGGCGGGAGAACAACAAAAACCCCAAAAAGAGAAATGGGACTCAAACGAGTCCAGCTAGGTGGGCATCCAGCCTCTTCTTAAAGACCCCCAGGGTAGGGGCCAGCACCACTTCCCTTGGAAGTTGGTTCCAGCTCCTAGCCGCCCTAACGGTGAAGTAGTTAAAAGCAGTAAAAAAGTTCTGTGCTGCAAAAATATTATTTCTTTAAAGTGCTAAAAATGTGTGTCTTATACAAGAAAGGATGATTCCAGCCTGAAAAAGTTTACAGTTTGCAAGCAGACCAGGAGAAGGCAGCATGCACTGTGAAATCGAGGGGCAGAAGTGAGTACTTCCCCCCCTACTCCTCCCACCCTTTTTAAAATTAGAAACTCACTTCTTTGGAAATCACAGAAGACATGGGTTGAAAGAGGTTAGAATGTAACCTATAGAATCAAAGTTACCTACTTTCATTGTGTATCATTCAATATAAGTTGCACCCTTCTTCAACTATAAGGACTCAGCCTGCATAACTTAATTCTGTTGATCAACTTTGTTCTTGTATCCATTCAAACCAGTCCTACTGAAAACAATCTTTGTAAGTTGTATGAATGCATGTGTGTAGGTGTGGGGTGGGGGTGGGCTGTTCAGTGACATGGACTCACCCCTCTTTCAGATAACCAGGCCATAGGAGGAGCAACTGGGAGCTTTCTTTTAAGTCCTAGAAGCAAGTAACAACCCTACCTGGCTTTCCCTCTGCACTCAGCAAAATGTCCCCTCCTGCTCCCATCCTCCCTTCCCCTTCCTTGCCCATCAGTGCTGCCATCTTCAGCTGTCCCAGAGCAAGAGGGAGAATACCAGAACTGCTCCTGCCAGCTCCAACTGGGCTCTACATGAAGTTAGGCTCATCCAGGGAATACAGTAGCAGCAGAAAAGTCCCACCTCTCTGCCCAGTACTGGGGTTGTAACCTTCCAGCCCAGGAAAAGGTGTGGGGAAGGGAATCTGCTATCTGCTGCAGCTGTCTTTAGCAGTCTGGCAGCTCTGAACCCACTTCCTCATAATGTGGGGACACTGGCAGTAGCAGGCAGAGGATGAGAAAGGAAGTGTGTGTATGGGGGGTGGGGAGAGAGATGCAGCTCAGCATGGAAGTGGGGTGGAGGAAAGACTTTCAACTGCTTGAAGGACTTCCATCCTCTGCTCCTTCCCTACTCCCGTGGTGTAGTCTGGTGTGTGTGTTGAAGGGGGCAGAAACAGGAGTTCAGTCCCCGCTGCAGTACAGGTCACTGCTCCTGCACCACCCTTTCCAAAATATTAGGTCTGCCCATGAACATAAAATCTGTGAAACCTCACAAAAGGTGATCCTGCATTTTTAAGTCATTGATCTTTATGGCTGTAACTGAGGGCAGAATTTGGTCTTCTGTTTATGAGCTGAGTTGCCTAAAGCAGCTCAGAAGAGAAAGCAAGCCCCTGAGAACTAAGCCTACTCTATTATTTTATTTATTTATTTTTTTGCAGCAGAGTTTAGCGTTAGAAGTACAGGAGGCTTGAAAACCAAATTCAGAGCAGGTGCAGCTGGATCAGCATTCCCCTTCAGGATATATATATGAATATATTCTGGATTCCTGAAAGCAAGAGTACTCACACAGGCTCTATTCTGTTTCCAGGGCCACAGTGTACATATTAGAAAATCAGGATGGAAGCTAAGTTATTAAGCACTGCCAATATTACCATTATCACCACCAGGATACTGTTGATCATAAAAATACAGAAAGTTTCCCTCTACTTTATGAAGTATGCCCTTCTACATAGTTGAAAGATAGAATAAAATAAGGCCTGATACACCTTGTTGTATCCATTTAATTCTGCAAAGGTGAAAATAGGTCCATTTGTGTTTCAGAACAGAGGGGCAAACTTAACTTGAGATTTGAATCTAAACAACGTCTCACAATCACAGAAGGGCTGAAGGGCCTTGTTACACCTTATGCTGTGAGCTGCACAAATCCTGATTGGTGTTAGTGCTAGCTTGGAGTTTGGAGCAGTCATACCCTTAGTCTACAAACTTTTTCTGACTGTCCTGCACTGGCACAGAGGCCTGCTGAGAAGTGGCAGGACTGACAGTTGTAGCCACTAGAGGATTGGTGAGCCAGGACATGTCGATCCCTGTTCTGTGGGGGGGGGGCGAGAAAGATCCTGGGATACTGGAGGACTACAGTTTGAGTGGCACACCTGTAGGGAGTACCAACACCTTACTGGAACAGGAGCTGGGTAGTGAGTATCAGAG